GTTGTGGTTGTGGTTGTGGTTGTGGTTGTGGTTGTGGTTGTGGTTGTTGTTGTTGTTGTTGTTGTTGTTGTTGTTGTTGTTGTTAGAAACAGCCGCCCAACATAGTTGTCACATGTTGTAACTCTGCAACTTCAAGGGGACAAGCTTAGGGATACGGTTTAAGGGTTGCGGTTTAAGCGTATTTTGGTTTCGTAAGTAGCTGGACTTGTTTGACTGAAGTCTGGGTTGGTTGTTTTGAGGGTGTCGTTCTGGGGGGGGTCAAAAATCAACAAGAAGGCTGCAGTCTGTGTTTCTAGGAGGGGGTAGAGACAATAAAAAAATAGGTAGTGGTGGTGGTGGTGGTAGTAGTAGTGGTAGTAGTAGTAGTAGTAGGAGTAGGAGTAGGAGTAGGAGTGGGGAGTAGGAGTAGGAGGAGGAGGAGTAGTAGTAGTAGTAGCAGTAGTAGTTGTAGAAGTGGAAGTAGAAGTAGAAGTAGTAGTAGTAGTCGTCGTCGTCGGCGTCGTCGTTGTCGTGGTGGTGGTGGTGGTGGTAGTGGTGGTAGTAGTGGTAAGAGTGGTGGTAGTGGTAGTGGTGGTAGTAGTAGTAGCAGCAGTAGCAGTAGCAGTAGCAGTAGCAGTAGCAGTAGCAGTAGCAGTAGGAGTAGGAGTAGGAGTAGGAGGAGGAGTAGTAGTAGTAGTAGTAGTGGTAGTAGTAGTAGTAGTGGTAGTGGTAGTGGTAGTGGTAGTGGTAGTGGTAGTGGTAGTGGTAGTGGTAGTAGTCGCAGTAGCAGTAGCAGTAGTAGTAGTAGTAGTAGTAGAAGTAGTAGTAGAAGAAGTAGTAGTAGTAGCAGTAGTAGTGGTAGTGGTAGTGGGAGTAGGAGCAGGAGTGGGAGTACTCATCCCATTGGTAGTAGTGCATACCTACTACCCACCATTATCTGCTGGTACTCTTCCGCTACTACTACGAGCACCACCGCCACCACCACCACCACTACTACTCCTCCTCCTACTGCTACTTGCCGCTACCGCTACCGCTAAGCGCTACCGCTACTGCTACTGCTAATGCTACTGCTACTGCTGCTGTACTAGCACTAGTAGCAGTAGCAATAGCAGTAGCAGCAGCAGCAGGAGGAGTAGTAGTAGTCGTCGTCGTCGTCGTGGTAGTAGTAGTAGTAGTAGTAGCAGCAGCAGCAGCAGCAGTAGTAGAGGCCCAGGGCCCAGGGCTTGGCCTTCTCCATTTTTGAAGCAAGCAGAGTCCAGATTTGGAATACATGTGTGTGAAAATCTCCAAACATTTTCTGGCAGGCAGTTTCTACCTGACTCGCCGTGGGCGGGGCCCTGAAACATTTCAGCTCAATGGCAAACTCAGTCCCAACAGACTCAGTAGACAACCTTCTCGGAGAGGTGCTAAGCAGCGCTGCTGCATGTTTGCCCTCGATCTGAACGAAGAACTTGACGAGGAAGGCGCCGGAAAAAGTTGGTATGGCTGGCGCTGCCACCTTTTCAGCTCTTGCCATGTGGGCGACTTGCGTTAAAACATTGTTGCTGAAACTTGCGGATCGGCCAATGTTGCTCTCAACTGGCGATGCAATGGGGTCACAAGACTCTGACTCAAGACAGGTGAGGACAAACCCTGTCCCGACGGTGCAGTACACCGTGGAGGAAGTAGTAGTAGCAGTAGCAGTAGCAGTAGCGCAGTAGCAGTAGCAGTAGTAGTAGTAGTAGCAGTAGGAGTAGTAGTAGTAGTAGTAGTAGTAGTAGTAGGAGTAGTAGAAGCACCAGTACTACTAGTACAGTGGCGTTTTTTTTTGAAGGGGGCATCAAAAAACAACTGTGGGCTGCAGTTTTTCGGTGCTAGGAGGGAGTGGAGTCGAGACAAAGTAAGAGGATGTGTGTTGAGGGGGCTGCAGTTTTCGTTTGTACGTTGTTAGTGTTAGATTGTTGTTGTTGTTGTTGTTGTTGTTGTTGTTGTTGTTGTTTCATTTTGGAAAAACAGCCCAGCAACCCAAGCCACCACTTCGTAAGCCACTAATAGTTGCTTGCTTGCTTGCTTGCTGGCTGGCTGGCTGGCTGCCTGTCTGTCTGTGTGTGTGTGTCTGTCTGTCTCTGTCTCTGTCTCTGTCTCTGTCTCTGCCTCTGCCTCTGCCTCTGCCTCTGCCTCTGCCTCTGCCTCTGCCTCTGTCTCTGTCTGTCTCTGTCTCTGTCTCTGTCTGTCTCTGTCTCTGTCTGTCTCTGTCTCT